GTACCAAAAATAAAAAGCAAAAAATTCCTCTCTTTCAAGTATTTGCTGTGTATAACAATCTCATATAATCTAGGAGAAAAATTTGCATACAAATTGATATATATATATATTTTTTTAATAGCAATTAATTCTGTTTTCTTTCACATCATTTTGCATCTTCATGGTTTGTTTAGCAGCAGGTTTGTTTTTAGCYAAATTTGACAATGGTGGATTCCTCCACTGGCCCTTTAAGGCATATTCAGAGGTGGAAAAAAATAAATGTTTATGTAAGTGTACTGAGTGGGGGAAGGAACATCCCTAAAGGATGCACTGTGTGTGTAGGGCTCCGCAATGACACGAGGATCACTTGGCACCTCAAAATACAGGCATAGCCAAGAGGTTCAGCGCTGCTCAGAAGGAAGGCTCTCAAAAAGAGGAGAAAATATGGTGTTTTTAATTTCCCAGGGCATACAAATTGTCCAGAAACACAGGTCCATATGAGAAACAACATCACTGAAAGATGTCCCCTGTATTTTTTTTCTTTTAAGTTGCTACTAAGGGCTAGAGGTGACACAGTGGCAGAGGACTCACCGGCATGTGGGAGGCTCTGGGTTTGATCAAACCCAGATCTCAGCACCACATACACAAAAACTATGTTGCTCAAGTTTATTGGCCTCTGGGCAGGTCTGTCTGTCATCTAGCCAGATCCTGCTGAATCAGGACAATTATGTGTAAATGATTTCACTTGCTATTGGCCTCTCTCAACTTGTTTTAAGAATCCTGAAATTGTGTGTAATCCCAGCAACTCAGGAGGCGGAAATAGGAAGATTGCGAGTTCAAGGCCAACCTGAGCAATTAGTGAGACCCTATATCAAAATAAAAATATAAAATGGGCTGTCAAAATAGCTCAGTGGTAGAGCAACCTATATTCAGTCCCTAGTGTCACATATACACATGCACAGCATCCTGAAGTTAAGGAGTGGGGAGGGTAGCTCGGTGGCAGAGTGCTTGCCTGGCATGGGAGAGGCTCTGGCTTCCATCCTTAGTGCCCACCAAAAAAAGGAAAAGAATCCTTAGTGGGAGAATTTGAAGATAGAGGAGTCGAGGGAAACTTGTTTGCTGTGACTTGAGACCCTAAGTCTTGCCAGTCCTCACGGCCCTGTTATAACAGTGCTGCGTCTCCCGGCCACTCTGGGTGGGATCCTGGACAGGAGCTGGACAAAAATAACGACGCCATGACTACAAGTTTGGAAGCTTCAGCCCTCCCTCCATCCTCCATAAAGCCCCTGAGCTTCTGGGGGCCAACATGTGGTGTGCTGGAGGGGCACTCCCAGGCAGGCAGTAGCTGCATACCCCTTCCCCATGCCTTGCTCTCTGTGTCACTTCCCTGCAGTTTGTCACCTGTGTCCTTTATAGTATTCTTTGTAATAAATAGGTAAGCAGTCCTCTGAGCCACTCTAGCAAATTAATCAGAGTGAAGGACAGGATCATGGGAACCCTTGATTTAGAGCCAGTCGGGCAGGGGTGCAGATCACAGCCAGGGGCTTTGAGCTGGCATCTGACGTGGGAGCAGTGCTGTGGGACCCGGCCCTGAGCCTGTGGGAGCTCCTGCTCTCCAGGTAGGGAGGTGGCATCAGAACTGGTTTGAATTATAGGATCCCCGCCTTGGTGACCCCTGGAGATCTCTTGCTGTTTAGGGAAACCCCTGAATACCTGGCATCGGAAGTGCAGTACAGATGTGTGTAGGGGTGAGAGTAGGGAAATCGGTTTTGTGTTTCCTTTCGCTTTTATGACTTCAGTGGATAACAGTAGGGCACTAGCAAGGTAGCTTGATGACACAGTTCCAGTGTGCCCTGCTCTGCCCAGCTCTCTTCTGATGCTAGGTACACGTCAGTGAACGAAACAAAGATTTTTGCCTTCATGAGGCCTCTGTTCTGGAAGGAAAAGGCAGGCAATAAGTAATCAACAGAGGCCGAGGCAGGAGGATCATGAGTTCAAAGCCAGCCTGAGCAAAAGCGAGGTGCTAAGCMCTGTCTCTAAATAAAATACAAAATAGGTCTGGGGATGTGGCTCAGTGGTCGAGTGCCCCTGAGTTCAATCCCCAGTACCCCAAAATAAACAAATAAATAAATAAATAAAAATCAACAGAAAAGGGTGGCACCTGTTGTATGTTAGAAGAAGGTAGCAGGGGCCAGGGTCTAGCTCAGTGGTAGAGCACGTGCTTAGCACCTGCAAGGCTCTAAGTTCCATTCCCAGCACCACAAAAGACAACAGTAAGCCTGCGCTGCTCCGTAGGCAGAGGCAGGAGAGGCAGGAGGATCGCTAGTTCTAAGCCAGCCTGGGCAACTTTGTGAGACACTGTGTCAAAAAGGGCTGGAGGTGGAGCCCAGCGGGAGAGCACCTCTAGGTTCAATCCCCAATACTGGGGRCGGGGGGCAGGGATGGGGAAGAACACGGGATAGAGTAAGCAYTGTGACAGGAGTGAAAGAAGCAGGGTGCTGGGCCCCGCACGTGGGGAGTGCTGCTTCACACACTGGGCCAGGTTGACCCATGGCTAAGAGCAGCTCCTTGAAGCTGATGAGGAGTGAGAGGCGAGATGCACACCCCAGCAAGCGCCCCCAGCGCCAGGCCCAGGCAGGAGGAACACACTAGCTAGCGTTATATAGGAGCAAAAGTGCAGGGACGGAGCAAGCTGCAGGTGGAGTGGACCCAAGGCAAAGGGGACCAGGAACCACAGCACAGTGGGTTCTGTTGGCCTGTTTGTGGATCGTGGGTTTTATTTTGAGTGAAATGAGTGAGTCTTTGCAGGGTTTGAGCTGAAGAGCATTGTGAACCATTTTTATGATTTAGAAGGAACCACCTAATAACTATATTAAGAATAGACTGTCAGAGCCAGGCATGTGGCGCAGGCCTGTGATCCAGCCACCAAGGGGCAGAGACAGGAGGATGGCAAGCTTGAGGCCAGCCCTGGGCAACTTAGCAAAACCTTGTCTCAGAATAAAAATCAAAAAGGGCTTCCATGCATGTATGAGTTTGTCCGAATGAACCCAACAACTGTGTGTAACTATAAGACTCTTACAAAAAAAAAAAAACAAAGTAATTTAAAAAATTTAAAGAGCTGGGGATTCGGTTCAATGGTAGAGCACCCCTGGGTGCAATCTCCAGAACCAGAAAGAAAGAAAAAGAAAAGCAGGCAAAACCGAAAGGCAATCTAGGAGATTAGTATAGCCACCCAGGCTAGAGAGGGGGTGACTCAGGATAATAGAAGCGATTTAAAAAAAAAAAAATAGTCAAATTCTGGCCACACTTTGAAGAGAGAACCATCAGGACTTGCTGACAGATTGGACGTGGGATGTGAGAAGTTGGAGAAGTGGAAGATGACTCCTCAGATGTGTGGCTCCAGTAACAGGAACGAGGGAGTCACCAGCTGAAGTGGCAGAGGCGTGGGCTGAACAGTCATAGATCAGGAGTTGCGCTTTGAAACTCAAGAGTCTGTTAGGGGCTGGGATATAGCTCAGATGGTATAGTGCTTGCCTCACATGCACAAGGCCCTGGGTTCAATCCCCAGCACCACAAAAATTAATTAATTAATTAATTTTAAAAGTCTATTAAACATCCAAATGAAAATGTTCACTTGTTATTTGTTGGCCATTAATCTTTCACGTGAGTAAATTAATCTTCCAGTGAGTAGCAGAATACTAGCCCTCTAGATACATTGGTTGAATCAAAGAACAAGAGAAGTTATTAAGGAAATAAGGATCAGATGACCCCCACTTTATTTTAGGCATACTGTACATACAGAACATCGACAGATACCAAAATATTAACAGGTCAAGTGGGATGTGGGTTTTCAAGTGATATTAACTTTATAGTTTCTTKTACTTTTCCAGGAATCTGTATTTTACTAATATCTCAATAAAATAATTTCTATAATCCAGGCATGGGGGTGAATGCCTGTAATCCAAGTGGCTCCTGAGGCTGAGGCAGGAGGATCACAAGTTCAAAGCCAGCCTCAGCAGCTTAACGAGGCCCTAAGCCAACTCAGTGAGACCCTGTCTCTAAATAAATACAAAACAGGACTGGGGATATGGCTCAGTGTTTAAGCACCCTGGATTCACTACCCAGTACCAAGATGATGATGATGATGATGATGATGATGATGATGATGATGATGATATGTTCCCAAAGCTTAGAGGACTGTGATTTTTTTTCTGTTGACAAATCGTAGGTTTGTTTTTTACCATGCTAAGTTGTTAGACACTAAGGTTATTCATGGGTTTTATTTCTTTATGGGTAGGAGCATGGTGTACAGATTGTTCTTTCACCATTTAAGTATTTCCTCATGATATATTCCCAAAATTAGAAGTAACAGATTTGAGATATATGTGCTTCTTAATATTGCCATTTTGTGGGGCTGGGTTTGTAGATCAATGGTAGAGAGCTTGCCTTGCATGCGCGAGGCACTGGGTTCGATCCTCAGCACCACATAAAAAAAAAAAATAAAGATATTGTGTCCACCTAAAACAAAAAAATAAATATTTTTTAAAAAAAGATATTATGTCTATCTACAACTAAAAAAATATTTTAAAAATAAGCAAATAAATAAATATTGCCATTTCTGCAGAAAAACTGACCAATCTAGAATTTCAACAATGAAGATACAAGCCAGCCTGTTAGAATGGTGCTCTCTCCTGCCGGGTGCAGTGGTGCACATCTGTGATCCCTGCTCCCCAGGGGCTCAGGCAGGAGGAAGATTGCAAGCAAGGTGAACCTGGGCAACTTAGTAAGGCACTATCAACTTAGCAGGACCCTGTCTTAAAAAAGGAAAAGGGCTAGGGATATGGCTCAGTGGTAGAGCACCCCTGGGTTCAAWCCCCAGTACCAGGGAAGGAAGGGAAGGGGGAGGAAATTCTCTCCTGCTAAGTCAGTTTTAATTTCACACCGAAAACTTCCTTGTCAGTGTTTCTCCCAGCTGCCGTGGGGCACACAGAGCCTACATGTAGATTTTTCATACTTTGCAGGTGTGGGAATCGGCGTGGTCCATGCTGGGTACGAGAGACGCCTGGCCCATCACCTGGGAGCACATAGCACACCCTCTATCCTGGGAATCATAAATGGGAAAATCTCCTTCTTCCACAATGCAGTTGTTCGTGAGAACCTCCGGCAGTTTGTAGAAAGCCTTCTTCCAGGGAACTTGGTGGAGAAGGTGAGTACCTGGGGAGAATATGGCAGGAAGTGGTTTACCAGGTGCCTGGCTGCCCACAGTCTACCTGTGACACTCTCAGACCTGAGTTTCATTTTGAACAGKATAAGATATATTAATTCATCACTTTAAAATGAATCATTTAAATGAAGACCGTAGGAGACTGAAACAGATGAAGTACAGAGACTGAACAAATTCATTCATGTTAATAAACATCTTGCAGATTTTACCTTGTTATAGGTAAAATTTGATTTGAGCCAAAATTACTTGTTTTCTAGTCAACAACAACAAAAAATTAGATCCCATAATAGGATAAAAGATTTCTTTGTGGCTCATGAATTGGTTCATGCAGAGTTATTTGTCTTGTGAAAATATTCAAATAAAATTACATTTGCTCATGCATTGAATGTTCATATCTATAGAAAACACCAGATTCCATGAACTCAGTTATTATTTTGGGGTCTCTGAAAACTTACAGTGATACAACAATATGGATGAAATTCATGAAGAAAAACTTGATCTAAAGAAATCAGACATACAGGGCTGGARTTGTGGCTCAGTAATCGAGCACTTGCCTTGCATGTATGAGGCACTGGGTTCAATCCTCAGCACCATGTGTAAATAAATGAATAAAATAAAGGTCCATTAACATCTAAAAAAAATTAAAAAAAAAAAAAAGAAACAGACATACAGTTCATATTAGTTTTTGATTTGTATATTTAAGCACCTTAATGTTTTTCCAAGTGTGTTAGGATAGGGATCAAAGCAACTAGGAAAGGGCTCTTATTGTACTTTAAGTAATTCATTCATTCACAATACCAGAGAGGAATTATAAAAATTTCTACAATATTTTTTACCTGAGCTGTTTACTGACTGTCCCACCAGGGTTATCCACAGGAGAAAGATTCGTTGGAGTTGGCTTAAAAGGTCAGAGAGCATCACAGGCTCCTAAAAAGAAGAGAGGTTGTTACGATAAGTTCTGAGACATTTATAAAACATCTGGTCTTGGGGTGGGGCTGTGGCTTAGTGGTAAAGTGCTTGCCTAGCATGTGTGAGGCACTGGGTTCGAACCTCAGCACCATAAATAAATAAAATAAAGGTATTGTGTCCATCTACAACTAAAAAATGTATTTTAAAAAAAAATCTGTTCAGTGCCAGGTATAGAATAGTGTTGAGGACACTTTCTGAGCAGCTCCTGGGCTTTGGAGTGTTTTGGAGCCCATCCTAAGAATTGGAAAAGGCTTCTTTACAGAAATGGTACCTATAGTGAGTTTGGCAGGTAGGTGAGAAAAGGAGGGAGTGAGCCGCAGGCTCCTTGGTGATTGGGTTAGATGGGTTTACAGGAACCTGGCTGGGAGAGCCTCAGAGTACCTCCAGGCCCTGCAAGAAACCTGGAAGTAACAATTCAAATGTGGAACTTCTAAGTGAAATTACCTGATGTACAGTGGGATGGGCTACCTTATTTTTATTTATGCCATTTAAAAATGGCAAGTATCAACCGGACGAAGTGGCGCACACCTGTAATCCTAGCGGCTTGGGAGGCTGAGGCAGGAGGATCACAAGTTCAAAGCCAGCCTCAGCAACAGCGAGGTGCTAAGCAACTCAATGAGACCCTGTCTCTAAATAAAATAGGGCTGGGGATGTGGCTCAGTGGTTGAGTGCCCCTGATTTCAATCCTGGTACCGTCTCCCAAAAAATAAGTAAATAAATAAAATGGCAAGTATCAAATATCTTTGGCTTTAGTAGATCAAGAAGTACACTCTCAGGTGTTGGTAGTAGAGTACATGCTTGCTTATTAGCATGCAGGAGACCAAATCCCCACCATGGGAAAAAAAAAGTTACATTCTACCATTAAGCAAGAATCAGGGGGCTGGGGATGTGGCTCAAG